AGATAAAGAAGGAAAGTTAGGGGATTAGCAAATGAATGTATGACTAAGTATGCGATTTTGTAACGAATTTCCGTCATCACTTGCCAAATTAGGCACTACCCTTAGGCTTAGGCGGAAATTCGTTCTCTTCGTTCGTGATCTTCTCAGGCTGTCAAAAGTATCAACCAACACCAACCCCCAAACTAAATCTCTATCAACACTCTTTAACTTACCACTTGACATTGTCCCAAAGCCGAATCTATTATTTGTGTATGCGTCTTATTAACGCTGTACTCCAAGATCGTGCACATTGTAGCACTCTCTGTGCCGTGTAGCTGTTCATATTCTTCAATCGAGGCAAACATTTGTGGCACCCATAGACGCAAAGTATTTTGACTAAAAGAGAAATTTTAAAAGTATATACTTATTTTTTATTAGCGTGTATGACATACATACGCATAGGGGTGGTCCCTTAAAATTCTGCGTAAAAAAACCCACGAAAATTTCAAAAGTAAAAGAAAAATTTGGTTTCGCTACCAGGTTTGAACAAAATTGATGTTTTTTTTTATTCGGCAAAATTTAAAAAAAAATTTGACTTTGCGCAGCTATAACTCAGTGAGTTTATAAATCTATATGAATATAAGTTTCACAACGCTGAGTTATATCTGGTCAAATTCAGACCACTTTTTTTTCTCGATTTAAAAAGAACTTATATTTTTTAAAATTTTCTGATTTTTGTGGATGTCTTCATTTTGTACGCAGAATAAAATAAATGGGTGCTCCATGCAAAACATAGATGTTGATATTTTAAGGTCCACCCTAATGAATATGTATAATAATAATTAAAAAATTAACTTACCCAAACAAAATGGCGAAGTTCATCAGATAGACGCGTATCGATAGGCCGAGATAGGGTTTCATTAGCAAAGGGCGTAGCTGTTGCAACCCCTGACGAAGGCCTACAGTTGGCTTCTTTTCCTTTGCGGACACATTAGGTGTAGAGGATTTCTCTTTCGGTGCTGCCTCTTCAATTGTGGCTATGCTAACTGTTGATGCATCACTTGTCTTTTCAGCGGCGAGTTGTTCGTTAACGAGTTCCTTAATCTGTGGAACGAATCAAAAGCAGCGGAGATCGTACATAAATACCATTTTCATGGACGATTTTTTTTATTTCGAAGAATATGATAGTATGATTGTAGAATATTAAATGTAAAAAGATTCCTGTGAAAAAAAAGCATCGACCATAAAGTATTGAATTCTCCGCCAATGCTGGTATTTCACTGATTCGCCGAAGAATTGTTTAACTCAACACTCTCTCTTTGATTACCACTTGTTTTAATTTTTTTAATAAAAAATAGAGCATATTGTACAACAAAAACCACGTAAATCCGATTTTAAAGGTTATACAGATTAAAACAAACAAAAATCAACAGAGGCTGTCTCTATTCTAGTAACCGTCAGTGTATAAGTTAATAATATTTTTAAGAAAATTTTAGGGTATGCAGTTTCGTAGCCCATTCAATTTTAGTATGATAAGTGCACATTTCAACTGGCTGCAAAATACCGTTAATTTTTGACATTTATTTTTATTGACGTTGTTGCGCATTTTCTTCCATACAAAGTATGCTCCACAAAACTGTTATATGGAAGATAATGCTTAGAAAAAATTGCCAAAACTTTTCTAAAAAATCTTACTAACTTATTATACTGTTATTACTTGAATGAAGGCAATTTTTGTTGATTTCTATTTTAATTCGTACAAAGATTGAAAATCGGATTTACATGGTTTTTATTGTAGAATATGCTATATTTTTATAAAAAAACTAATTAATATTAGATAAAAAACTGTCAACACTGAGGATCCCAATTCGTTGGGGCCGTTCATCCGGTCGAGATAGAAGAAATAATGTTTAGAAATGTAGAGGAAGAAATTCCCTACATAATTGCTGTGGGCAGTAGTAGTATCAATAGTTATTGTTTCCCCATTAAGTTTGATGAAATGCGTGGATACGTGACGTATGAGTACATAATTTAATGCTCAAATTTCATACAAAGAAATAAACTTTTATTGTATCTGGAAGTATGTTGCTTCCATTTGATCGGACCGGCTGTTTACAAAAGGTATTAAAATCGTCCCCTAAGTATTACATATATACAAAATTTGGAACTTATAATATAAGACAGTTTCCGTTAATTTTTAGCGAAATTTTAAAGTTATACCTCTCAATAAAAATATTTAGTTTTTCGAAGAAAATTATATCCAAGGTTATTTGGGGATGAACAATATATCATATTTGATTCCAATAAATGAATGTTTGGCTCTTAAAAGATTTCTACGTGTTTGGCCGAACCTCTCCTCCAATTTATCTTCTGCTTCTTGAAATTATGACCTAAATGGAGTGATCTACTCTTTTACTCCTTCTCCGAAGAAGTTTTTTTATAGCAGAAGTACACTCGGAGGTTTGCCATTGTCTGTCGAGGGCCGATCGCTTTTTGACCAAATAAAAGTAAAACAAAAACAAATAGTATAAAATATTCCAACCCAGCCAGCAAAAAATCTGAAAATCGATACGAAAAAGGAAACAAAGTGGATGAAATGCGGAGTTTTGCCCGTTTACCGATACCATTTTCGGATACATTAGTTGTGTTTTCGTATTCTCCAGCAAAAAATATCCAGTAACTTGCCAGTAACCAAATTTCGGAGAGTAAGCCAATATTTACTCCCAATGAGTGAAATATGCAAGAAAGTACGAAAACGCAAAGCCAGCAAAAAGTTGCTAGTTTTATGAACAGCTGATTAATTTATTGGTGTTTTTGGTTCAGTGTGTTAGTGTATTTTGAATAAATTGTAATAGAAATAAAAGAAATTGTAAAAGATAAGAGCACATGCCAAAAAACAGGTGATCTCAGCTGTAGGCATTTTTTGGCAATATGTTGGCTGATAGTGTACGAAACTGTACACGATGGCGTATGTACCGACAAGTACCGAAAACCGTTTTGGAATGGAGATATTTTTGGCTGTTTTTCTAAAATTTGACTGATTGAATTTTGCGTTCAATATGCTTTACTGTACTTACGCTGGATTTTGCACTAAAAATAAACAAACCAAAGAAACAACGAAAATCAAAATAATTGTCAGCAACTTCAAACACATAATTTAGGTAAAATTATGGTGCATTTACATGGTATGAATCTGGTCATAAGCCGTATGAATTTTCCTATACAAGAAGCACCAACTCTATGAAGAAATGAATGAAAGCGATATATGTTCATATATTTAACAATTTTGACTTACATATATACTTGGCAAGTATTTTTTTATAAACAACAAACAAAAAAGTTTCATTTTGCGCTAACTTCAAAACTAGAAGCCTATTTTTTAATGTGCTTTAAAAAAGGACCTACTGCCAATAAAGCCTTGTGGTTTGCTATTTTTTCAAGCTTCCATTTAAACATTTTTGTGGATAAACAGTTTTTGTTTTCTTTCGTTTCTCAATGAATTTTATACTTGAAAAGGCACCAAAATATGTATACAACACTTCTACATATCGTCGTTTAAAGTGCAAAACCGCGTATCAAGAAAATGCAAAACCTCATACATAACGTTCATAACGTTCGTGCGTGATCTTTTATTTTTGTTTCAGGTTGTAATAAAGGATAGCTAATTTTTTTTTACATAACCCTACAAGACATTGCTGAGCACTTTAGGCAAAAATTCTCACACATTTACACTTTTGTTTTTGTAGTACGGCATAAATGAGTAGTTTGACTATTAGTACTGAGGACTTTCTGATGACAACATTGAGGGGAAAGTACTCAAATTTTTCCCATGGCCTGAACGAAAATGAGGACTTTGATAAGCACTTTTGTGATTAGGAGTAATGATAATATGAGTACTCATATGATACTCAGCTGTCTTGTAGGGTAAGCGTCACTCTACGTTACCGTACGACACTTCCTTCGCATAGTTTTCCGGCACCAACGCGAAAGTACCCATTCTGACGGCGCTATAAGCCGGGCTAAACGGCAGCCACCACAAAGTAATATACATTTTTTGATTACATAGGTAATTAACCTACACAACCTTCAGTGCAATTAAGCGGAGTTGCATTTGAATTAACGTTATAATGACCTACAAGGAGAGGCGATACGGCTTTGAACTTTATCTTACATCTTATCAGTTTACATATGTTTTTGAGTATGGATACAATAAAATTAGATAAGGAGATTTTCATAAACATATAGGTTTAAAATGTTCAATTGTAAGTTATTGTTGAGTTTAAGCCCAAACGTTTCTACTAAGGCGAATTTATATAAGGTGGTGTTACTAGATCAGCTGATTTTTTGTATGTGTTTCGCCGCACGGCTTCTTGTGTCAAATTAAAAAATTTTGTTTGCACCTCCACATACCCTATTACAGATTTTAACAGTTTATGCCGCCAAACCAAAAATAAAATACATGTAAATTTTTGCTTTTTTACTCCTTCTATCACCTTATATTAAATTGCCTTTGTTTCTACACATTTTGAATACTGCAAACAAACTACACTGCCGGCAAAAAGTATTGGCATAGCAAATTTTTCACAATATATGGTCATATTTTTCTTTCTAATATTTTTCCGCCAATTTTTTTATAAAAATATGGTTCATTCTACAACAAGAAAACATAAAAATATAATTCCCAAACTTTGTGCAAAACTCGCGAAAATTCAGCGAATTTTCAACTTTATAAACAGATTTTTTAGAATTTTTTCCATGAAAAAAAAACTGCAAGTTCGGAGTTAGTCAAAAATCGCATTGATTTTTGAGAATTTTTTATTGAAGGTGTATTGCATTTTTTCCATGTAAAGTATTTTCGAAAAACATAAAACTTGTACTTTTTTATAACAAAATTGCTTGGGCTACAAATCTGCATACTCCGAAAAATTCTAAAAAACCTGATTAAAAAGTTGAAAATTTGCATGAAAATTTGCTTAATTTTCGTGAGTTTTGCACAAAGTTTAGGAATTATATTTTCATGTTTTTTTGTTGTAGAATGAACCATATTTTTACAAAAAATTGGCGAAAAATATTAAAAAAAAAATTGTGGCATATATTGTGAAAAATTTGCTGTGCCAATACTTTTTGCCGGCAGTGTAAATAAAAGCGTTAAGATAAACAACGCTACCGCTCTGGTATACGTTTAAACGTTCAGTGATCTTTGAACACAATTCAAGTCGGGCGACCATCTCTGTTATGCGCTTAAAAGCGAGAGATAGAATAAGACACCCTTCACGCATGTATGAATTAAACCCAAGAATTTAAAACTCAACTTAGAAATTTTATCTATTTCTATTGTTATCTTAGCAACAATTATGATTTTGCTGTGTATATATGTATGTAAGTGTGCGATTATCTTAGTGTGCCGTAAATTTTAATACAATAAACAATAAATATTTTCTTACCGGATAATCTTCACGTTTCTTACGATAGTTAAGTGCATATATTCGCTGAAAAACCCGCAATGCCTCTGCATTTCGACCCTGAGACATTAGGAACTTTGGGCTCTCGGGAAAAAAACTGAGTAAGGTGCCTCCAAACAGACAAGGTATAGCGCTTATGGCCAAAAATACTTGCCAAGAGTGAACTATAGAAAAATTAAGCAAAGAAAAAATATTAAAAAATACAATGCGTAAATTAACTGCAAATAAAATGAAATCGATACGAGTAAATATGTGTACTCACATTGCAAACCCAATAGCTGGAAATCCAAATGGCTGGGTAAAACACCCAGTGCAACTAGGGGCAGTGATATGTTGCCCACTGAGAACATAAGACCCACGAACATAATAACACGGGAACGATGTTTCTTGCCATGTAACTCCGTTAAGTAACTCATTATGACAGCGAAAGGACCACACATGCTGTTGAAATTATAAATTGCGGTACATATTTAAAAAAAAATTTCATATTCCATACATAAATCCTGAGATATATTTGAAGACCATCAGCTGTATGACATTTTGACTGCAGGCACCACCTAGTACGGATATAATATTACTCAAATAACCGAAGACGAGCAATTTTTTGCGACCCTTCGTATCCGCGAAATAACCCCACACTATCGCTGAAGAAATCATGCCTGTTGAGTATTTTTAACAAAAAAGGGACATCTTTTAAATTTTCATACGAGTATTAATCATTTCATACATGTGTACAAGGTATGTATAGTAGAACGGGTCAATTGGTATGGGAGACTTTTTTAAACTATGCGGGTAGGGCAAAGCAAATTAGCCGAAGAAACCACCTTGTCAAATTGTGTCGCAAGAGGTAAAAAATTTTCACATTTTCTTACTTTTTTTCTTTTTTCATACAATAAAATTTCAAAGAAAATATAAGAAGTAAAATTTTCTTACACATTTCCATGTTAAGGCCTGTTACCAGTTCTCAAGAAAAACAAAAAATTCATATAAATTGACGCACAAGAAATGGAAAAGAAATGTTCTTCTAACAAAATTTCATAAATCAGTTTGCAGCTCTCAAGAAAAAAATGCTAGTATATTTATTTCTTCAAGAAAATTTACAGCAAAAGCAAAGAAAAATATTTCTTGTGATTTTTCTTGAGAGCTGGATGCCAAGCTTTAAACTTTTATTGTATTACATAATTACATTTTCTCAAATTACACTGTAGGTAAAAACTCAATTTTTGAAATGACACGAAAAGAAAAAACGTAATCTTAATACTGGTTCATGGATTATGGATCTGTATACCGGTTTTATAAAAAAAAATTAAACTTTAACAAGGAAAAAATTTACAAAATCACAAATCTTTTGTAATTTTTTTCATATATATTAAAGCCTGTTCTTGTGCAAAAAAAATCAACCCACTAACGATGTAAATCGATGGATAAATAAATAAGTTGTGAATGGTCAAATGAAAATATGCAATAATTTTTTGTATGAAATAGGAGCAGGAAATAATGTTACTCAGTCATGCGCCATATCGTACATGGCGTATGAGTAACATTTTCCATGTTAAAGTCTGAATTTTTTTAATCGCAAGACCAATTTAAAATGAAAATATGTTGGGAAAACTGAAATGATTTAAAATAAAATTTATGTGTCTCGGCGCTGTTTTTATTTTAATTAATTTAATTTTAATTTTAGCGTCCCTACAGTGTAATCTGACTTCTTAGACTAGTATGTATGGTTTTGCACTTTCAATATTTTGACCAAAATAAAATAGTCTACACACGGCACACTCTCAGTCGAAAAAATGTGGAATTCATATCACTTTGTATATACTCACCCAAATATGTAATTGCATTTAAAAGCCCTTTGTCGAGCAGAGTCAATTTGAGATCACACTCAGCGCTCGGCAAGATATATGACATCGTCGAGGTCTCCACCACTGTGGCTATAGCAGCGGGAAGCGCAGAAATTATCAACAAAATATTGAAAGTACCGAAACCAGCCACTTCCATGGCGGTCTCAAAATCTGCTGGCACATCTTTAATGGGCGGCTCTGGTAGCTTTTCAGACGATATATTTAAATTCGTAGGTGTTTCGTTCAAATTCTTGCCTTCCATTATGGTGTTGGCTTCTGCTGAGGGAAAAAAGCCCATTACGTAAACCAATTTCACAATTTCATTTGAAATCACTCTATATTTACATACATATGAACATATACATATATATGTATGATAAATGCAATTTACCAGGCATTTTGTTTGTTGTCGCATCTATAGCCATTGCATGTACTTTATAAAAAATATTTTCTTCTTCACTTTAAATTGTAGATATTAAATCACTTTTCACAGTTCACCTCTTCAAATAAATATATGTATTTCACTACGAATTTTTCATGAGTCAATGCCCGAGCTTTCGCACTTCCCAATGGGACTGCTTTGTCTGAAGCGATCTCCTTTTTGGTGGCATCTTTTGTACTCCTTTACATTGCGGTTTTTGTTATTTTTGTGCTGACTAATTTGTTAAATTATATTTGTTTTGTAGACAAATATTTAAAACATCAAGATTAGCGCCAGTATTTGCATATCTGAGTGAGGTATGTACATACATACATATGTATATGGTGACATATATGAGTACGTACTAATTTGATGTAGTATTTCTCCATCTAAATAGATTACCTACATACATATAGTACACATACTCGTAGAAATCGTAATTGTTCGCAGGCGGCCAGCCACGCTTCTCAGAGGTGCCTTTAACAATCGCAATCGTACACACGCATGCACATGTTTCAAATATATAAATATGTATGTATGAAGCTTGATCAAATCTTAAATAATTTAATTAACAAAGTTGTGTTTATAGGATTAAGGTGCCTGACAGCTTTTGTCCTAGTCGAATTTCATCATTAACCCTGTTTCCGGATATTTGGTTGGAACTTAGAGTTAATTTTAAGGAGCTTCCAAATAAAAATTTAAAATTTTTATTCAACTTTCATTACCCTATTAACGATTAAAAATTAAAATACACAGGTTTACAAGTAGGGAAAAATTCATTGAATAAACATGAAAATTCATATACATAAGGTTTTACATTCGCTGAACCCGAATCCAAGATCCGTTAACCTCCTTAATGTCAACTTCGAAGTCACTTGAAAGTCAAATAGGACATAAAATTTATTCAATAAAAACTAAAAAAAAATTTGTTTTTGTTGCCATTGAAACCGAGTATGGAGGTCCCTTGATTCCTCAAGGTCATCTGGAGGTCATCCCAAGGTCAAATTCCGATGAATTTTATTGAATTTTCAGGTTTATTCAATGAATTTTTCCCTACTTGACCTTCAAATGACCACGAACCTAACGTGATGGAGGCTAACGGACCTCGGATTCGCATTCAGCGTGCCGAATAACATAGGGATATATAGGTTTGGTTTAATATGCATACACTTTTTTTTTTGTAAACCTGTGATATCATATGAGATTTCAGTTAATTATTGCTTTGAAGAGAAAATGGCCTCACTCGAGAGAAGTTGTTTTTTCAAATCTCCACAGATATGTACATACATATATATATATAAATAACTATACACTTCATACATACATACATATGTAGTACGTTGAAGTCAAATAGTAACATTTGTTAGACATTTTACGTTGTCATGTAAGAAGATAACATTTTGAAAGATTACGCTGCTACGCTAGGGCAGGCACCTTGCCGTTGGTGCGGGGGCTTAGTCGATTCACAATCAGACCTTAACAACGGCTGGTAGTGTAATCGTGTCTCTACCTCCGGCTACTGTGCGAGTGCACTCCATTTCCTATGGTTCGGGCTGCTTGTGAACGATGACCAAGAACTGCCGACCACCTAATCCAGGGTGTTAAGCGACACCGTGCCCATTGGAAGGCTATCAGCTAGGGGGTTTACCAGAGCGGCTGTATTTTAACGGTGGCCTTGCTGCGGCATCGGGCGCTGCCGTGGTGGACCATTTGAATTCCCCTTATTACGACCGAGACTACAGCGCCCACCTCGTCGGGTAAGTAGGTGGTCGTACCAGCAAGATGAACACAAACAAGCAAAAACCAAACTAAAAACCAAACCAAAATCAAAACCCAACCAACAAAACTTCGAGTGATGGAGGGGATTCGAAGCCAATCCCTCTCTTCCGCTCCTCTTTAAAGGAGGCGGAATTGACTCCTGGGCAGGGTGCGGCAGTTGCTGCTGCGGCGTGCAGTAAGGGCTCGGAGCCGACCTCTTCGTCTGCACTTGCTGTTTTCAACTGTCGTTGCTTGAGCTCATCTACTCTTTTGCAGGGAGAGACAGGCCACTAATATCTTATTTAATAAAGAAGAAAAGGAAATATACATTTTTAGACGTAACACACTCGAGTTTTTTATTTATCTACCAAACAAAATTCTACGTAATTCGCAACAGAATATTTTTAAGTAGATCTTTATGTAAATAAACGAATACTACGATTCATGAAATCTTATCATGATACTCTAGCGAAGATGTGACGTTTTTTTCACGGCAGCTGTGTGGGATTAAAATAGTCATAAACTAAATAAAGTCGTGCTGTTAAAGAAAAAAATAAGAATTTATAAATTTTTCCACAGTAGCCACTGCTTTAAACGATTGTTCTTACTCGGCGACAGTTTTTTTTTTATTTATGTTTACTTTAATCCCGAGTGCAAGAAATGCTATTTATGTATATTTCTGATATGGCATGGTGGCATACATACATACATACATATATCGTCGTCTGGGTAAAACATTGTCGTAAGCGGAATTTTGATGATTTTGAGTTATAGATGCAGGTCTGTTTTTTAAAATATGATCCTTCGATTGGTGTTATCAGTTTTTCGATATCTCGCCTATTCTCCGAGATATTCAGTATGATTTTTTTGTTGTTTGTGTAGACGGTGTTGCACATACGACAAATTAACAATATTTTCTTGTAATTAAAATATTGTCGTGTGTGCAAAATTACTCGCAAATCCAAGAAATTGCGCAAAAATTTAGCGAGCCTCGACGTTCTTCTTTACAGCAGCTTGATATTGTTTTGGAGGTAACATATACACCAAATTGCTAGGAAAGGAACGAGAAATCTAAAGAGCCATATCTGTTCGCCCGATCGTCAGTGCAGACGATACCTCTATGTAGTATTATATAAGACATCTCAATTTGTTATGGAGGTTGCTCTTGACCTTGGTAGGCTGGCTTTGAAAATGGCTGAAATCGTACCGAAACCACGCATACCTCCTATTTAACGGATTTTTTTTGTGTGTTTCAACAGTTGCTGGAGCTAAATCGCTCAAATTTTACATAAGCAAAAAAAAAACAACATTTTTCTTCGATAACACTCCACTTTGTTGGCATGTTTCTCAAGTCGTACTAGTGAAAACTCTCCCAGACTTTCACATGTGGAGAGTGGCCAACTACTTATGCAGGACATTAATGAGGTATTCCACGGATTACATTAGAATTAGAGCAACTTAAAGAGTAAGAAAATTAATTGAAATTTTTCGATACCGAAATTTATCGAATCATCAAAGTTTATTTATCGAGTTATTTATCGAAATTTATCAAGTTAATCAATGTTTATTGAGTTGTCGAAATTTATGGATAGTTATCGAGCTTTAAAAATTTATGGGATTATCGAAATTTTTCAAGTTAAAGAAATTTATCAACTTATCGATATTTACTAAATTATCGTTATTTATAGACTTAAAGAAGTTTATCGAGTAAACGTAATGCGTCGATTTCTTTTAACTTACTGACTTAGCGATAATTATTGATCTGCTGACAGTGGTCGATTTATCGAATCGAATTTTATGGAATTTTCCAAATATATCGATTTGTGGAAAGTTCAAGGTTATGTAAGTTTATCGAGTTATCGAAATTTTTCAATAGCTTTCAAAAAATATGGTGCGTCAAATTAAAAATTTGTAAAGGTTTCCAAAGTATATAAATTTTTGAGTTATCGAAATTTATCGAGTTTTTGAAATTCATCAAATAATCGATATGTATCAAATCATTGAAATTTATTGATAGACTGCAATGTATCGGGCCAATTCCAAGGCCTGCCGAAGTCCTTCAAAAAATATAAAAAATTGTAGTGACGTTCTAGTTCCAAAGCAGACGATTTTCCGGTAAGTTACTTTGTACCTTATAAGTTTAGCTACATACGTGTTAAGTTGGGAAACCCCTCCAAGGCTCAAAAACCAGAAAAACGGTCAAATTTCGACAGTAACTGGCACTCTAGTATTTATTAAACGGTTAAAATTTAAATGTACTGTTGCGCCTGAAACTTTACGAAAGATCCGCAGGCACGAAAGTAGTTGACATTGTTTTTTTACTTACCGCAAATTGCATAAAAAAAGAAGAACACTAATTTTTTTTTTGTAATTTAAAATTTTATTTAATTTATTGTTTTTATAATATGGAACAATACACAATTTAAAGATTACATTTTGTGATTTGGTTTTGTTTTGGTGTGGAAGTTTCACCGTTTTTTTTTGCTTTTTATTTTTGTATTTTTTAGATTTTGTTTTTCATTTTCACTTAAATGTTGTGGCTTATTTTAGTTAATAAAAGTTGTTGCAGATAATGCTCGAATACACAAACATTTAAACTATGCATGTACATATGTGTATATGTATGTATGTATATATATATAAATGTATATATATATATATATATATATATATGTATATATATTGAGTGTATATATACTTTATATGCATGTATATGTAACTAATATATGTATGTAGGTATTTATGTATATAAGCATGATTTCATTTACTCTCACTTCACAAATTTAGTTGATAAGTTTTTGCCCCTTCAAATACAATTTTTTGTGATTTATAATACATATTTCGTTTTGCCTAGCTTAGAGTTGTTTTATTTCATACATTTTCAAGGTAATGGATTTGTGGATTTGAAAAATATACGAGTGAGCACCAACGGGTTGGTAGCATTTCTTGTTTTTTTTTTGTTAATAAATTTATTATATGTAAGTATTTCATTTGATTTTATTGTATTTCATTTTATGTCATTTTAGCTTTTCAGTTTGTTCACCAATGACAGCTCAGTAGGGAACCGTCACCCTTGAATAAGCTTTTATTTTATTTTATTTATTTTTTTTTGCTTTGGTTGATTTGTAGTTGGTAATCCTAGTTTGAAAAATACTTGTCACATATTTTTCCTTAGTTTTTATAAGTTTTTACTGATTTGTTTTATTTTTTATTTTTTGTTTGGAGTATAGAAACATGTATTGCATGTATTATAGCACGGAATAATGTACTAATAAATATATATATATACACACAATACAATTTAAGCATAATCAATATATATGTATGTAAGTACGAGTATATTCCCAGTGTAGATGAGTATATTTAGTTACAAAGGACTAATTGTATTGTGAGTTGGCTACATTCACTGCTTTCTTTTTTCTTTAG